ACTTTTTAATCAAATCAGTCATGAAGGCCATGGCTGATTTATACAAATCATCATCCATTGAAACCCTGCTGATCATTGATGCAGAAACAGCTGACAGATTGAAAAGACGAGAACGGTATTTCGATGGACTATCAGTAGACGGAACTTCAAAAGAAAAGTTCCCTCCAGTTTTTGCTGCTCTTGTCCACCGCTTCAAAATCAAACTGCTAGGAATGTGCTGGAACTTCAGATTGCATGTTGTAGACCACAACATATCATATCCCTTAAATTTGATGCTTACAGATCAAACCACTTGACTCCCACTTACGGCAGGAACACTTGATTTCACCGTTATCAAAATCAACCTTCAACACCCTACTATCCAACCTAGTAAGGTCATCCTCCAATATGAAGACATCAAACATTCCTACATGTCCTTTTGGTTCTATCTCTATATTTGAAAAAATATTATACGCAAGAGATTCCTTGTACTGATCCAGGAAAAACTTGAATATCTTCGGCGTATACACATTAGCAACTTGCTTCACAATAGGGCTAGTAGAAAACCGAGAATCAGCCAACCGAGATAAGGCATAGTACTCTTCTTGTTCTTCAGCATCCCTCTTATTATCCAGCATCCTCTCAAAGTGCACAACGAATCTACTAACGCTAAACTCTGACTGCAAGTAATGTCGAATATTACTATTGCAGCACTCACTTAGCTGGGTACTCTTCATTCCTGCACCAAAATAATTATACCCAGGCTGAAGACCACTTCTTCCTGACTTTGTAAATGCCCTGTAACCAACTGTGTCCCAAAGGTCCCTTCCCAGGAAAACACTTCTCAATCATCTTCTTCCAATTATACTCAAAATCATCCTCATCATCAGCATTATACATCAGATAACTAAGCTCACGAAGGAAGTCAGAGTCACACAAACTTCCCAGATTAACAAATGCATTCTGAGCAATATGCCATGTACACAACCCATGAAAACAATCTGGGAAAACAGACCTTATACCAGCAGCAATTGCAGGAGCCTGGTCAGTAAACATTGATAACGGTCTCACACCTCCCATGCATTTCAAAAACTGATCGAAAAGCCATTCAAATGTTGCCGTTGTTTTATCATATAGAAGAGCAGCCGCAAAGACAGTCAGTTGGTGATGATTGTTGAAACCAACAAACAAAGCTACAAAAACATAAGAAAATGTGAGTAAAAACAATTCTACCAACACATACCATGTGGTAAAAGGTACGAATAACAATAATACCAACCCGTACCATATGGTAAAGACTTCTAAGAACAAAAAAAACAATCCATACCAGACCATACCATAAAGTAAAGACTTCTAACAACGCAAAAACCACCTCAAATAACCTTGTTACCAACCCATACTATATGGTAAAAGACTTTTAAGAACAAAAACACAATCCATACCAGCCCATACCATATGGTAAAATACTTTAAGAACATAAAAGCAATCCATACCAACCCATACCATATGGTACAGACTTTTAAGAACAAAATAACCATGATACAGAATGATAATAATAATAATAATAATCATACAAACTCACAAAGACAATAATAAACAACAAACTAGAAAACATACCTAATGGCCGATACTCTTTGTTAGTCCGGTAAGTAGTATCAAAACTAATTGAATCACCAAAATAATGATAATCCATCCTCATCTTCCCATCTGCCCAAAAAATACTAGCAATGTTCTCTTCAACATCAACCTCCACCTCATGAAAGAACCCAGGATCCAGCTGTGCTTGACGTCTAAAGTATTCAAGCAATGCAGTCGCATCACCATACTCCATTGATAACGTCCTCACCGTTCGCAGATGGTTCTTCAAATCATTCTTTGTGAACCCAACAAACTTCCGGCCACCACCAGCCCTACTAATTGCATTATACGAAGAAGTCACACCAATACCAGCAGCATCATTCACCTCTGCCAACATCTTATACACAGGAGCCATTCGTCTGCTGGATCTCACATAGTGATGCAGAGACTCAGGAATCATGTCATGGTTGTGCACATTATACCAACGATAGATCTTGTAGCATTTAAACTCTTTAAACCACCTGATTCGAATATAAGCACCATTACATCCACCCCTGAGTTCTGGAACATTACAAACACGAACATTCGTATCAACAACACCTGCATTATCAGGGTTATTCTCGCTACCTCTTCTCCAACCTTCCTTATTGCAACAATACTTGATATAATATACAGCTGAAGAACCACCATTGAGCTTCGGACACGCTGATTGTTGGTAAATCCTCACACCAAAACCTTCATGATTCCCATAATCCACATAGAAATTGTATGCATCATCCGGTGTATTAAACTGTAAGTCCTTCCAAGAATCACGAACAGTAGGATCTATACCATTGAAACCTATAAACATTATGAAGCAACATATTAAATATGTACAAATATAATACCTCCATGGTATGATATGGTAAAATGAATTTCATGTCACAACAGAATCACATCTCATCATATTACCACACTATACCACATGGTATGGCATGGTAAAATCAAATTACCACACTATACCATATGGTATGACATGGTAAAATCAAACTACCACACTATACCACATGGTATGACATGGTAAAATCAAACTACCACACTATACCACATGGTATGACATGGTAAAATCACTTACAGCAGCAACAAAAATCCCAAAAACCCACACTATACCACAAACTATACATGATAACATCAAATTACCATATTTTACCACATGATATGACATGGTAAAATCAATTATCACACATAACCCCACCTTTAACTTGAAACTACCACACTATACCACATGGTAAAGCATGGTAAAATCAAATTACCATATTTTACCACATGGTATGACATGGTAAAATCATATTTTACCACAACAGAATCACATCTCATCATATTACCACACTATACCACATGGTATAGCATGGTAAAACCAAATTACCACACTATACCACATGGTAAGGCATGGTAAAATCAAATTACGACACTATACCGATGATTCCAACCATGGTACAAGTAATTACCACCATGGTATGATATGGTAAAACTTAAATACAGAGCACAATAACATCACAACACAACACTATATTATCACCTCTCATCGTATACCAGTAATTACCACCATGGTACCATATGGTATCTAACACATTCAAACTTCAATAAACAAACAAATTTGTATATCTTACCTCCTGATTCACCAGAGTTAGCTGAATGACCAAATCCAAGATCGATAGATGAAGAAGCAGTTCCAACAACGCTAGATGAAGAACCAGATCCTACAACGCTGGTTGAAGAACCAGATCTATCAAATGGAACAACATCGCCACAATTTACGTAACTCATCTCACCAGAATACTGCAAAAAAACCAAAACACAAAGAACATAACACATGAACAAGCTCGATTAGCTAAACAGAACACACAAAAGAAACTCAGATAAGGTAAATTCTACAAAACCTACAACGAAACCAGAGAAACTCAAACACGCTCGATTAGCTAAACATGAACAAGCTCGAATAGCAGCAATGAAAAAGCCTCCAACGAAACCAGAGATCGTCAAAACGCTCAACAAAACCAAAGATAAACAGAAAACTCGATTAGCTAAACAGGAAGAATGAAAAAAACTAATATCTAACCTCGCCGTCGATCAATTATGGAGAATCAGAAAGCTCGATTCGATTAGCTGCTACTCGCAGTCTCCATCGCCATCGATCAATTATGGAGAATCAGAAAAGATTCGCCGTCACCTGTTTCTCAGCTGTTGCTCGCAGCTTTCTCTCTCCAAAAACCGAATTCAACTCGCGCACACGTCGATCAATTAGGGAGAATCAAAAACCTCGATTCGATTAGCTACTGCTCGTCGATCAACTATGGAGAATCGCCGTCCCCTGTTTCTCAGCTGCTGCTCGCAGTTTCCCTCTCCAAAATCCGAATCCAACTCGCGCACAGAAAAAGATCCGCAACGGACAAAAGGGGGAAGTCGTTAATTCAAATTTCGGACAAAATTGCCCCTGACCATCACCGCATCAACCACAGCCACACGATCAGCCCGGCCCAGATCTACGGTCCTAAGGTGGTTACTCACGGGTGAGTAACATAGGGTTACTCACCCTATCCCAAGCCCAAAGATAGGGTCAGTAACCATTGGTTACTCACCCATAAGTAACTAAATCTGGACCTTTGGATTAAATGGGCCTAGAAAATCCAGATCTAAGTGTTGTGAATTAAAGACATTATTTTTCCTAGTTTTCTTAATCGACTCTTATCTTCTTCATTCTACTCGGATGTCAATTGTTTTGCACATATGGAACGAGTTCGTTGTGCTCTACAAAATGTGATCAATTTTCAATATTTTTTGAGAAAAAATGTTTTCATATCTCTCGTTACCAACTCCATACCATATGTTATCTACTTCGTTTTTAAGTCATTTTTTAAAATATTTGCACAGAAGGGACGAGTTCATCATTATCTATTGGATCTACAAATTTCTGGGTGAAAACAAATACATGACAAAAAATTACCATACAATACCACCTTGGTATGGGGGTGGTGGTACACAATGATGAAAGTTGTAAATGACAATTAGTATACTCCTATTATCATTTATTCAACCATCCTACAGTCTTGGCACCATTGTACGCTTTCATACCATATGGTATACTCTTATTTAATACCAATCAATACCATATGATATAGACTGGTAAAAAATGACTCAATTTTATTTGTTCCAAAAATATATCAAAATAGATATAATTTTGAAGATCACAATTGATCAGATTTATATGTGCAAAAAAATTTAAATTCTGACTTAAAAAGATAGAGAAATTGTTCGTTAAAAATTAAAGTAGAAAATATTTAAGCTTACCATAAGAGAGATGATGTTAATGTTACAATGATTTGGACGAGTTACTTATAGTTACTAACCCTACAGTTACTAAACGGATCTACTCCAGAGCCAATATTGGAAATTCGGTCTAAAACCGTCACATTTGGGTTAGGGTTGTACTGAACCCACTGACTAAACCACAATAACAATCCGTTATTGCTTATTGGAGCCGGTTGAACCTATTCAGTTATTCATTTGCCCTCTTTTAATCTCTAGCAGGCTAGCCAGCTCCCCTTCAATTTTAGTCCTCCTTGGTCCTTCCAAAAAATCTCTGGGAGCTTCTGTTGGCAGCAGAGCAGCCAGTTTGGTTCCGTCGCTCCAATCCCAATCCGTTCCATTCATCTATACTCTCTGTAATTGTTGATTTTTCATTGCTCAATTCAGTTATGGCGATATCTCTCGCAAGCCAAGCACTATCGTCCTCTGCTCTTTCCTTCAACAACAGAACCCTAAACTCCTGCACTAGACCCAATCCTCCCCTCTTCTATCCGACAAACAGAGCTCTCAAGGGATGGTGCTCTGCTTTCGTTTCTCCCCTTCCGTCGTTACGCAGCAGCGGCAGCAGCAAGAGAAACTACTTCCACATCCATGGCTCCGGTTCCTTCCTTGCTCGTTGCGCAGTCCACGAAGCCGCTTCTGCCGATGCAGCTATGCTTGTGCGTATTCTTTGCAGCTCTCCTCACAATGATTTTGTGTCGAATGTGAAATTCGGTTTTTAGGATTTTTTAGGATGTTTCAATTGGAAAATCAATTTCGATTTCTAATCCACTTTCCCGTTTCAGTAATGCTTATGTTGGTAATAACGGTATTTCCTTGGTACCCTAAGTTAGCTATTTGGTTGAGTATTAGTGAATTGGATAGCTTGAGAGAATTGGAATTCAAAGAGCGAATGTAATTGGTCTCTATGACATGGAGTCTGGAATTCAAAGAGCGAATATCCTTTTATGTAACTTAAGTTGAACCTTGTACGATAAGCCGTACTTCTACAAAGAGTAGCTACCTACGCAAATGATTTTACAATAAAGATTTGTAATTTCCATCATTCATTTCCCTGTAATTAGATTAAACTGCTTTTTATGCGTTCTGGTGCTTAACCGATTCGTAATCCAGATGCAACTCTGCACCCTCCCTCATGTGTTGCAACACAAATTGATTTCGTTCTGCTAGTGCTGGACTTGATGTTTCTCTCTTTGAGCTCCATAAACTGCAGTTAAAAGATGAAACATCAATGCAAATCATTTTGTCTGATGACCTTTTTGTTGGATTATATGTTCTTAGACAAATGAGGAAGATCGTGCTCTACAGGATGATGTAAAAGATAAAGAGGATGATGTGGAGGAAATGAAGGAGGGATCAGAATCCATTCCACAGAACGAATCTGATTTGAAGAATGTTTTTGCAAGTTATCGGGAAGCTATCCTTTCTGGCGACCAGGAGACCGCTACTGCAATTGAGGCTGAGTTAAATGCCAGTGAAAGCACGAAAAATGAGCTAGTAATAAAGGTGTCGGCTTTGTCCGCGGAGATAACTTCTGGCAGGGACAGATACATCCGCCTGCAGGCAGATTTTGATAATTTCAGGAAAAGATCAGAGAACGAGAGACTGAACATCAGGAGTGATGCCCAAGGAGCAGTGATCGAGAGCCTTCTGCCCATGGTTGACAGTTTTGAGAGAGCCAAACAACAAATCAAACCAGAAACCGACAAGGAGAAGAAAATAGATACAAGTTATCAGGGCATATACAAACAATTCTTGGAGATCATGAAAAGCATGCAGGTGACTGCTGTACCAACAGTTGGACATCCTTTTGATCCTTCGGTAAGCCAACTTTCCTTGAGTTGTGTTTTACCAGTTATTGATTGTGTGTTTAGCAATGATGGTGTGATTACTCTCCTCATCTAATCTCGCTTTGCCTACATCTATCTTGATATTCTTGAGATAGTATACGTACTGGTTATGAAGAAGTGGGATTAAAGACAAGTACTTAGGGTGGGGATCTCTTATGTTTGAGTCGCAGTATTGAGTTAATTTTGAGGGGTTAAGTGATTGAACATCCTCCTCCATTATGTGTATATAGGTTGGTAAGTGGATTTTATTCCAATTTTTCGGCTATAGGTACATGAAGCGATTGCAAGGGAAGAATCTCAAGAGTATGAGGATGGGATTGTTTTACAAGAATTCCGGCCTGGATTTCTGGTTGGAGAGCGGCTAATAAGACCAGCTATGGTTAAAGTTTCTGCAGGGCCAGGGCCTGGGCCTAAAACTGAGGAAGCTCCTGCAACTGTTGAAGACCATGCTGAGCAGGAAGCTGCCGCAGAAGGATAAGCTGTGTTAGCGAGCATACCTCTTTTTTTCTGGAATTATTTTACAGAGAGGTTCAACCACGGCCTGTGATTGCTTGTGGTATAAAAAACTCCAGTTTTAGCGTACTATCTTTTTTCCCCGTTTTTGTCTAACTATGGGTAAAAATGACTGGTCTTCAGTGTAGTTACGACAACAGGGGCAAGCAGAGGCCACCAAGAGTTAAGATGATCGTTTCTTTGACACACTATGTGGTGGTCGATGAGCTATTTGATTTGAAATGATGTCTTCTACATTGGATATATCATTCTTAAATGGTTTATTCTTGAATTGGTTGATGAGCTTATGGGGTCGTTTGAATGAGGAATTGTAACGGATCAATTTGACACAATTGTCTTGTTTTGACACAATTGTACCAAATTGCCTCGTTTGCCAGCAAAAATAATTGGATGGATCAATCTGCCTGAGGTATTCTGAATTGATCCGTTTTGAGTCAATTTCAATTACCTGGGGTGAGGGCAGGTAATTCGAATTGACTCGTTTTAATTGTCTCATTTATAAAACGAGACAATTGATCAAATTGACTCATTTCTATATTGATCCATCCAAACGACCCCTATATGTTTTATATGAAAGTTGGATCCGCGAACCCGCTGTAAAATCAGGGATGACAAAATAATTCATGACTGGACATCCAAACAGATGCGAATTCATTCGGTTGGGAAAAATTTAACAGATATTACTTTTGTGTTTCTTTAGATATCTAACAAGTAACAAAGAATAATGTGATGTGATTATGGTATTTTAATTTACACCGAATTCTAGGGTTCGAGCATTGGATGGCTGGATCCACCAATCCACTCAAAATCATATGTAATCAACCCACCCATTATCATATGGCTGGTTCCTATGGGTGTGTGTGGATTGTAAAATAGGCGATTCACAAAAAAAATAGGTGGATGTGGATAGACTGTGGTTGACTCACGACCCCACCCAATTTCTTAACTTCAAACCATTGAAGCTCCAACTTATAACTTTACCGAAAATGAAACCCTTAAATCACAAAAATTTCTCTCAATTTCGATCAAAAGATTGTGTTGTGAGGTGTGTTTAGGCAATTGGAGGTAGTAGACAAAAAGAAAAAAGACAAATGTCATCCCAAATTACACAATCTCAAACTACCACTGATTCGTCCTTCATTACTTCTATCAATTTGGAATTGTAATTTGCGACTATAGATTGAAAAGATATTTACGCTCACAACGCCTAGGTGAATGAGGCGCTAAGCAAGACCAAAACGTTTGCATTATGCCTAATGCCTTTTTGAACATTGGTTATTATCAGACTTAGATCATGTTTGTCAGTTGAATATTTTGTAATTTGTGGACAACCAATACCAATATTGTAGAATAAATGATTCAACCGATTTGTGATTGAGAGTTATTTAGTTCCAAAATTTCTTTCATTTTAAGTTTAAAACTATTAAAATTTTGTAATCATATGGACATGGTTAAAAAAGGCACGCTTAATCTTACGCTTAGGCACGTAGGTGCAAGTAGGGATGACAACTTTGCCCATACCCATGGGTTTCTTACTATCCAACCTAATTGGGTTGGGTATGAAATCCAAATAGATGGATATGGGTAGAGTTTGATGGGTTTGTACCCATACCCATTTACTTTGGGTTGAGTTGGGTTTATATCAAATGGATTTGGGTTTGTACCCATGCCCAAATACAAATTACAGTTTGGTACCCAAACTTAATAGACATGCATATTTAGTACCTAAAATTAATTTTTTTGCATATAAGTCCTCAAAATATCGATGGAAAATTACGTTTTGGTACCTAAAATTTTTTGGTCTTACATTTTGGTACCTAAACTTTTCAAGTTTTTGCAAATAGGTCCAATTTTTGCATGTGTAGTTAAAACACCCTTAACTCAATATTGAGGGTCGCCTTAACTTAGCCTAGTTTAGGTGGCTTAGAAAGCGGAAGGAAAACCAACTCGATTGAGTCTCCCTTAAAAGGGGAATTTTCCTCTCTAAACTAGGCTAAGGTGGGAAATTAGATTACAAGCACCTAAATGCACAAACTTAGGGGTGCTTAGCACAATTATGCACAATCCCTAGGTTGATAAGCACCTAAATGCACAAACCTAAGGATGCTAATCACAAAGCATGCACAACCCCTAAGTTGCTAAGCACAAGCATGCACAATCATGGTGAATAATGCCTCAATCATTGAATTGAACAAAACCCAATGACAGTCATCCAAAACACATCCAAGAAAACTACATGGTAGAGTTAGGGTTTCACTACACCCAATTGAAAGGAGGTCTAGTCCATGCTAGAAGTGGGAAGAACAAAAGGAAAAAAGTGGAAACCATCTTTGAGGATGCTCCCTCTCTTCTTGACCCTTAAGTTGAGCTTTCCTTGGGGGAAATCTTTCCAAAATCTGCCTTAAAGCCAAACCCTAACCTTCTTCTCCCTTTGGTTATGTTTCTCTCACTAGAATGCTGAAGAAGGTGTTTCACACAAAAGTGGGCTCTCGCCTCTCTCCTCCTTTCGGCTCATCTTTTAAACCCGAGATGAGTTGAGTTCACGGCCCTGAACCATCAAACTCGTCCGTGAACTCAAGGCGTGCGCCAAAACGCTTTGCATCGCTCACGTCTGTTCACGGTCAACTGCTTGTGTTCCCGGTCTTAGTGACCGTGAACTGACCTTGCGTCAGTAACCTTCACATTGGCTCTGGACGCCTCGCGATTCATGGTCAACTCCCCTTCTTAACGGTCTTGCATGACCGTGAACTCCTTCAGTTAGGCGTGAACTGGCTCTTTTTCACCTCTTCTCCCGGTTTTCGATCCTTTTCGCCAATCTTTCGACTCCGATGCTGGTTTCACCTGTTAAATCCTTAAACACACTCAAACATGAAGAACCTAGCGTAAAACCAACCTTTAAGGAGCGAATTTGGTACAAACATCTAAGTAAAACGGGGGCAAAACATGTGCAATTAGGCGCGAATCACACCCCCACACTTAGACGTTTGCTTGTCCCCAAGCAAACCATTTCACGCACACGGTAATATTTCAACCTACACAAATACTTTGGGGACAACTCAAAGGACACAAAGCGGGAATCTCGATTTTTATTGACAATCAACACATGAACCATTGCAAGCAATACCGACATCCACCACAAACGACATTCAAAGCCACCAAAACGGGCAAACGAAAAGTTCTCTACTTATTCATGGATAAATGCAAGTCTCAACAAAACCGCTTATCGACCACAACCAACCATGCATGGAATTCAAGTCCGAGGAACAAATGTAAAGGCAACGAAGGTCCTCACTGGGGAATGTAATGGTAAGTAAAACAAGAATGGATCACTCACTCTCAAGACCAGTGGGGTCGAGACCGTTTTGGTGCAAAAGATGTGCACAATCGTAACATCTCGGCCCTATTGTCTCAATACCACGGTGGTAACCTCTAAACGCTAGAGTTCACGGGATGGTTGTCACCACTAGCTCGTCCGGAGGTCTTAGACACGGGTTCAGATGACTAGTGATTGGCTTGGACATGGAAGCTTTTTGGGTGGTGGCAATCATGACGTGAGGTTCTACATCTTCAACCTAAACCCGAAGGGTCTATGGTTTCGATTAAAACCCTTCTCTTTAATCCAATGCCACTAGCATCGGCCAAATCCCTTATCTCTCCTTTCCAACTATCACCAATCATGAACTACCTTGAAGCACTCTTCCTCGGTCAACTCTTGATAGCTCTTTAAGGTTTGCTAGTGAAGGAGTTCTAAACAATGTGGGGGTTTCAATGGCTTGGGTGCAAAGAAACCCTTCTTAGAGCATGTACTTGGGCTTTTCATGGCACTCTCTACTTTATTTACCCCATTTTATTACCTCTTTTCGTTTCTCTTTTCTTTTCTTTCTTTTTGAGGGGGGTATTAGAGAGTAAAAACACTTGCCAGCTAAACATTTCTCGACCAATGCTCTCTTTTTTAGGAACTAACTCCAACACTACACTCCATTTTGCATTCCTAGCAAGAACCACACACAAACCTACTATGTAGAACCTCTATGGAAACTCAATGGTAAGAGCTCCGGGACACACGAGCGACTCGTGTTTAGACATGAAGAAAGGATTTGGGGGTCATTCTACTAACACCTTTAAGCTCACACGAACGAAGCTCCTAAATTGAGAACGACCCACAGAGTCACAAGGCTCAAAGGGGTTGACTAAGGGATGATGCATTTCGGGACAATCAACGTTTGGGTGTGGACTCATCCTATGGCTCCATCATACTTGCTAGTGAAAACTGTGATGCTACACACCGTGGTAAGAGGGAACTATCACACCGAAAGAAACGATCAGCTCAAAGCTCACAGACTATCTTGTTACCCAACCATCTATTCCAATTCACAAACACGATGCATGGCAATTGTAAACAACAAGTGATCAAGTCAAGACACCCATTCATTTTTGCACACTTGAGAACTAAACTTTTGCCCTATCCTAATGAACTTCTCAGTCATCATCATAGGATATACTCGATCACATGCAACAATTCAAGATTAATGCCACAAACACGAGAATTTTCCACCATCCGGCCACTTTGAACATGCAAACATTGCTTGAAGCCCTCAAATTTTTAAAATTTGGGCATACAAAAGGGTCCAAGAAACATCTCACTCACACAAGCATACTAGTAGACTACCCCTCCCACACTTAAACTCGGCATTGCCCTCAATGGCGTAAGAAAGGGGTAGAGTGATGTTACCTCTTGGGCTTGGTGAGTGAATGTAGGAATCGAACTGGGGTAGGATAATTTGAGCTTCAAGGAGAGACAAAAAAAAACACACACAAGCACAATATGAATCGCTCGAGGCGAGGTTATTACAAGCACAATACATAGTAGTAGTTTATGTCACACACACAAATAACAAAAACAAAATAAAACAAGTTTAGGGTTACAAGTAGAGAGGTGGGGCGAAAGGACTCCACTCTGCCACATGTCTCTCTCGTCGGCTTTCTCTCTTCAGCGGATGGACCCTCTCCAAAATCAGGTAGGATACCCTGGCGTCAAGCCATGAGCTCTAGGATGTCGGACTGTCGCTTGAGGTGGGATGAGAATCCCATGAAGCTCGTGGTGGTGGTGGTGGCTGTTGTACAGGGCGCGGGAGCGCTGGGCGCCAGCGACGGCTAGGTGCACGAACAGGTGGCTGCTCTGCTGCTGGTGAGATCTCGGATTGGGCTCCACTGAAGTCAGTGCTGCTGCAGCTCGGATGACTCCGGAAGGTTGGATTCCGTCAAGGTACTCCACTTCTCTCTCGCCCTGGAGTACCAGCTTCTGGTTATACAATGTCTCCACTGGGAAGGGCTCTATCCTTCCGACGCTGGTGCAGCGGGACTGATCCACCTGGAAGTGGCGGGCGATCCTCGTGATGATGCCCTCTATATGCATAGTGTTCACTCTGTTCCGCCCCAAGCAACGGGCGAAAGAGGTGGCGATCAACAATCCCAAATGGATCGGCTCGGCTGGACTCCTCATCGAGTAGAGGGCAATGAGCCCTCTGTTCATCATCAAGTGGCCTGACTGGAGGATGGGGATGACGGATCTAGTGAGAAAAGTGTGGAGAATCCTCCACTGGGTCTTCAGCTTCACCGCATTAGTGCGGCTCCCCTCAAACTCGCTCTGCTCGTGCTCTGGGCAGCAGAGGGCTCTGAATGCGCCCTAATAGTTGAAGTCGACTGTGTAATGCCGCTCCGTCATCGTCATGTGAGCGATGTCGAGTCCCATGGCCTAAGCGAAGCCATCATAGGTCACCACTCGCGGCCGGCTCTTCTTGCTGGCCGGGACGTGTGGGAGAAGGTGGAGTAGAACTCCACACACAGCTCATGGAAGATCTCCTCGTCCATGGTCAAGAGCTGGCGCCACTAGAGATGGGAGAGTACCCCTGTCATGGTTGCTCGGCACCTGAACAAGTTAAACTTGTCCAGGTCCAGCCGCCAGTGAGGCCCGATCGGGCTGTCACTCTGGTAGGCGAACTTGTCGCCAAACTCTGGGCGGTTCACCAGATAACTGATGAACTCATGCTCCAAGTTAAGCATCCTTCACAAACACAAACACACTCCATACGTGGAAATAATCTTCATATACCGCTCATTAGGAGGAAAAGAGATTCCCCCCCCCCCTCCACTCTTGTTTTTCCACCATGGCTAAAAATTGAAGCTCAAACCACCGTAGTAAGGTTGTGGGTATTTCACGGTTCAAGCACACAAAAATTTGAAATACAAACCCTACCACGGTGGCTACCATCCACAATCAAAAACAAACTCCACTTGCATTCATAACATAGCACTTGGTGGGCTAATTCTAAAAATAAGCAAAAATTGATTCACACACGCCCACCAAGGCTCACTAAGCTCATGCAATAATCAATCCATCAATCACACGACCTAATTCACCTAAGTTCTCGCCCTAAATCTAGGTTCAATCATGCAAAGCACAAGAATTCAACCTCACTTCACTACCGAATCCGATTCTCCACAATTCACCAAAGGTAGAGTCGAAAACAAACCTGGAGACGCAAGTGAGACGTAGGAGGAAGTGAGGTGCAGGCGAGGACGGTAAAAAACGTTCGGAAAACTGACCGGAGAGGGGTCGCCGGAGCTTCGTCGGAAGCTCGAAGGAGACTCGCCGCCGGTGACTTGGCTGGAAAAAATATGCTCCAAATCTCCCCAAAATCTCAGCACAAGCCGCTTTTGAGGAGTGGAGGCTTGGTATGACGTTGGTTTTGGGTTTTACTCACCGAAAATGGGGAAAATATCGAAAAAGCGATGGATTTTCGTGTTTTTTGGCGAAGATTTGAATTTTTCGGCGAGAATTTGGTCGTGAAGTGAAGGGTCGCCGTTCATGCCCCTTTTATAGGCACAGCTCTGTGTTCACGGACGCGTTGCCCAGTTCACGTACGGTCTTAGCGATCGTGATGGAGTGGTTGACAGTTGGTGAACATGCATCAGCACCCAGCTCACAGACGCGTTTGCCTGTTCACGGTCTTAGAGACCGTGAACTCAGCCTTCCGTACGTGAACAAGAGTGAAAACAGGGCACTTCTGCAAAAAACATTGACTCAACCTATTCCTCCGTGCCTCCTAATCGATCACAACACAACCATAAACCGCAAAACCACAACACTCGGCACGGGGACACCACTTCACCACTCGAACCCTTCACAAGACACTAAAACGAAAACTATGGAAAAAAAACAAATCTCCGTTAGGTTGCCTCCCAACAAGCGCTTGTTTATCGTCATTAGCTTGATGGTTGGGGATCAATCAAGACTTCAAACGTGATGCCACCGAGAGCGGATCCGCCACACTCTCGGGGCGAGGCTTGTAGCCTCCCATCTTAGGCTCCTTGAGTCAGCCCTCTTGGCCGGCAAACATTGCTTCGGTCTCCCCCGTCTTACGGGTCAAAGCTCCCTCCATCCTTCTTCTCCAAGCATTCAATCTTGGTCCTTTGTAATTAGGACCCTTCTTAACTTCCTGCTCAACATCTTCAAAGACAACACAAGTAACGGTGGGGTTTGCCTTGAGAGGCTCTCCTCCACTCTCATTCACATCATTTGAAACTACCCCCTTCACTTCATCACTCCTAACCCTAGGATCATTTTCAAGTTTGATCTTCTACTTACCATCCCTCAAAATTAGGGTTCCCTCATTAACGTCTATCAGTGCCTTGGCAGTTGCAGAAAAGGGACGACCGAGGATGAGGGGCATATCCGAGTCCTCACTTATGTAGAGAATCACAAAATTGGTAGGATAGCGGGCATACCCACTCTCACCATCATGTCCTCCACTATACCTCTCGAGCTAATGACCGAACGGTCGGCTAAGGTGATGCTAAGCTTAGAGGTCTTAAGTTCACCTACTTCTAACTTTTTGAAAAGCTTGTAGGGCATCACATTCACACTAGCTCCTAGGTCCGCCAAGGCATTGTCTATATGGCGATAACCAATATCGAGAGGGATAGTAAAGCTACCTGGGTCGGACCACTTTTTGGGCAAACGGTCGAGGAGGAAAGCCGAGCACTCCTCGCCAAGAGTCACGTTGGCGAGGCCTTCAAGCCTTGGCTTGTTGATGAGGAATCCTTTGAGGTACTTGGCATATCATGGCATTTGAGCCATGGCTTCAAGGAACAGGATGTTGAGGTGGAGGTTGCGGAGCATTTCCATGAACCCTCCACACTCGTTGTCCAACCTCTCCTTGTACATCCTTGTGGGATAAGGAAGAGGTGGCACGTATCCATCCTACGGCAATGCCTTCCTTGCCGCCTTCCTCTCACTCCTCAAGGGATTCTTCTCTCCCTTTTTCGGGATGGTTTCTTCCTTGTTAGAATCCTCATTCTCCACCACTTCATTAGTGGCAACTTCCGGAACCACCTTCACACTCCTCACTTGAAGTGCATTCGCCCCGGCTTGATTGGGATTCGCCACGGTTTGGGAAGGCCAGGCTCCCTTGGGTCTCTCGGTGAGGATGCTGGCAAGATTGCCTATTTACACCTCCAAACTTTGGAGGCTCGCTTGATGGCTTCGAAGAGCATCCATAAATTGCTCTATCTTCTCGAACTTTCGGCTACTCGTACTCACAAAGGTGTTCACTAAGTCCTCAAGCTTGGATAACTTGTCGGGTTGATGTTGTTGTTGAAACCCTAGGGCACCTTGTGATTGGTACGGTACCTTGGAAGTTTGAGCCTTGGAGTCGAGGCCTTTGCTGGATGAAGGTTGGCCGAGGTTGGAAGTTCCCCGTGGGGCCTTGGAAACCCGAGGGCCTCGGATTATTCGGTGATGACCAAGCAAAGTTGGGGTGGTTCTTCCACCTGGAGTTATAAGTATTTCTATACAAGTTGTTGACCCTAGCATTTGCCACGAAGTTAACTTGCTCCTCCGGAGTGGTTGCCTCCTTAATTGCTTGGCACTCCGCCATCTCGTGGCTAGTACTCGAGCACCAGTCGCACGACATTAACTTGCCCCTTCGGCCGACACACCATTAATTTTCAAGATCCCCGCGAGCTCAAAGAATCTCTGCACGTGCTCTCTTGGTGACTCGCTTTCATGGCCGTGGAATAGAGCATTACTTTGTATCATAATCACTAGAGCCAGCTTTATCTCGAAATTGTTTGCCGCCACCGGAGGATGTAGGATCGGTGATTGAATGTCCGCCGGCCTTGGGGCCATATAGTACATAAGTACCCCATCGTCCTCGGGGCTCCTTCTTCTCCCGCCGCCTCATTCTTATGGCGTGCTTGAGCGCCTCCATCTTGTATTTGGTTCCCCGCCATTTCCTCTTTAACGACGGGTTCAACTTCGACTTCTTCAACTCCTTCTCCACTAACACCGGGACTCAATTGTTGTCCCCCTCTTCACTCCTTCTCCTTTCCTCGACTAGCTCTCTCTCCCTTGCTAGGAGTCGGAGAGTTCGGTTTATGTCCTCGTCAAGTGGTAGAAAGGGTGTCGGGTTGCTCCGGGTCATGCACCACCTACACACAATCAGAAAACACCAAGTCTAGCACAAGCAAAGAACACACACACTTGAAAAACTGGAAATTAAAAGCTAGATTAACAACCAACAACTTTTTCAGAATAACAGACTGTTGTCCCCGGCAATAATGCAAAAACTTGACTCGCACGAAACTACACCACAATAAAACCCCAATCAGAGCCCAAGTTTTTAAACTCTAATCGGGTGCAGTATAGGGCAAGTATTTAGATATCGACCCGGGCCGGTCCATCTATCCCTACATCTGTTGTTGAAATCATTATCTAGCAACAAAACTTTGGTTTAAAGGTTTTCTTATTGAAATAAAAGAAAGCAAAGGTGATTGGGTTTGAAAACTCTTTTGTGGGAAAGTCACTCGGGTGTCGCTTCCCCCTAACCGCTACCATGCTATGTGAATTGGAACGATGCCTTTGGGCACGTTAATTGCGAATCACAGAGGGATGCATATGTGGTCGGAGGCCACATCTCAATTGTTAAACCGAGGTAAGGATGAAAGGCCGTGTCACTCAACCCTCTCGGTTTAGACAATCGGTAATTTGACTTACTCCCTCACTCAACTCTAAGGTCGGAAGGTTAAGTCGCGATTAATCGACTTGCTTAACTCAATATGGAGGGTCGCCCTAACTTAGCCTAGTTTAGGTGGCTTAGAAAGCGGAAGGAAAACCAACTCGATTGAGTCTCCCTTGAAAGGGGGATTTTCCTCTCTAAACTAGGCTAAGGTGGCAAATTAGATTACTTGCACCTAAATGCACAAACTTAGGGGTGCTAACCACAATTATGCACAATCCCTAGGTTGCTAAGCACCTAAATGCACAAACATAAGGAGGCTAAGCACAAATCATGCACAACCCCTAAGTTGCTAAGCACAAGCATGCATAATCATGGTGAATAATGCCTCAATCATTGAATTGAACAATACCCAATGACAATCATCCAAAACACCTCCAAAAAAACTACATGGTAGAGTTAGGGTTTCACTACACCCAATTGAAAGGAGGTCTAGTCCATGCTAGAAGTGGGAAGAACAAAAGGGGAAAAAGTGGAAACCATCTTTGAGGATGCTTCCTCTCTTCTTGACCCTTGAGTTGAGCTTTCCTTGGGGGACATCTTCCCAAAATCTGCCTTGAAGCCAAACCCTAACCTTCTTCTCCCTTTGGTTCTGTTTCTCTCACTAGAATGTTGAAGAAGGTGTTTCACACAAAAGTGGTCTCTCTCCTCTCTCTCCTCCTTTCAGCTCATCTTTTAAACCCGAGAAGAGCTGAGTTCACGGCCGTGAACCATCAAACGCGTCCGTGAACTCAAGGCGTGCGCCAAAACGCTCTGCATCGCTCACGTCTGTTCACGGTCAGCTGCATGTGTTCACGGTCTTAGTGACCGTGAACTCACCTGGCGTCAGTAACCTTCACATTGGCTCTGGACGCCTCGCGATTCACGGTCAACTCCCCTTCTTCATGGTCTTGCATGACCGTGAACTCCTTCAGTTAGCCGTGAACTGGCTCTTTTTCACCTCTTCTCCCGGTTTTCGATCGTTTTTGCCAATATTTCGACTCCGAGGTTGGTTTCACCTGTTAAATCCTGAAACACACTCAAACACAAAGAACCTAGCGTAAAACCAACATTTAAGGAGCGAATTTGGCACAACCATCTAAGTAAAACGGGAGCAAAACATGTGCAATTAGACCCGAATCAGCCCTCCTACCAAAACTGGAAACCTCGATGAAGATAGCTCAGTTCACACTGATTCGAGTATGTAACATGAGCTACAAATAAATTGTGAAATGTCTGGCTAACAGACTCAAGCATATCATGTCAGGTCTTGTCGATGCAAATCAATCCACTTGCGTTCTAAACGACATGTAACTTACAATACCATTATCCTCCAAGAGGTTATCTACACATTGTCCTTGAAAACGGAGTTTAGGGCAACATGCTTATAAAAATAGACTTAGCAAAAGCATACAACAGGATAAACCAGAGCTTTCTATCGTCAACTCTCGTCACTGCCTATCTATCTCATAACTTCATCATAATGATCATGGTGTGTGTCACGATGACCACTTTCTAAATATTATGAAATGACAGCTTCGCTTAGGAATTCAGGTTGTCTCTTATTTTTAGACAGGGATGCCCCCTCTCTCCTTTTCTTTTTATATTGATTATTGTGCATTGAACGCCTTAATCACTTATTAAAGACTATGCAATATTTTATTTTCTCAAAAGTTAGCATTTTCTTTTTGTTGAAAAAATCATTGTTTATGTAGCATGAACTTTGATGTTTGGAACAACTATAGCCTACAGTATGAAACGATAACTATGTTTAATTTTTTAATTATTAAGAAAAGTTTTCATTTACTTGTCAATGACATGTGGCAAACGACCTGCCAACCATGCAAGCACCCTTCAATTTCACTACTAACAACTAATGAATTAATTGTTAACACTAACAATTAACTCTAGTATGTTGGTCTTAATAATTGTAAAATGTATACATGTTATTAGAGGTGGCAATTTCAATCCAATCCACCAATCCAATCCATCAATCCATTAAAAATATCCACCTAATCCAATCCATTTAAATCCAATCTATTTGATCCAAATCCAATTGGATTTGTGGATTCATGGATTGGATCCATGGATCATTAGCAAATTACGATTTAGTACCTATAATTTTTATTTTTTACATTTTGGTACCTAAAATTTAAATTTTTATACAAAAAATATCATTTGAAAATTACGTTTTGGTACCTAAAATTTTTCATTATGACATTTTAGTACCTAAACTTTTTACATTTTACATATTGGTCCTTGATTGAGGATGTCATTTGGATTCATGGATAATCCACCAATCCACTTGATCCAATCCATGAATCCACCAATCCATTAGATCCAATCCGTTTGATCCATGGATCCACCAATCCAATCCACCAATCCAATCCATTTGCCACCTCTACATGTTATATGTCGTGCCGTTATTATGCCAAATGACCAATATAAACCAGAAAGAGGTATTATACAATGGTAGGTGAAGGGTCTCTGAAAATCCATTACTCTTTCAAAGATTGGCCACCCTCAACTACCTTTTCTTTTTGGGATGACCTCATCCTTTTTGTAGGAAAAATACTTTAAAATTTAAACACAGCAAACCCTCAAGACTTTGGAAGGAAATCTGAGACACTTGGTTGGTGATGAAGCATAGCATGATTTGGGATATCAAAGGAGGGTGAAACGTCAAATTCTGGAAAGAAGCTTGCCTAGCTGGGGGCATGATCTTTAGTGAGCATATCATGATCATAAGAGAGATAATTGAGTGGAATATTGCGACCAGAGAGTCAACTAAGAATGACGGTAAGTGGGATTAGAGTAAGATAAGCCCATATATTCCTTACCATTTGATTTCATTGATTGCAGGAAGTGCTCACCTGACGTAGAACTTGGGTATGGGGGCTGATTGCCGCTTCCTGCTATGGTCCACATACATCGCAGTTGTTGAATGTTTACGAACAGAGGAGGAAGAGTTTGCCAATACCAATAGAAAACTTAGTTGGAAGAGTATCTGGAAGTGGAATGGGCCAAACCGAATCAGACACCACCTATGGTTGCAGTCCAAAAGAGATTAATGACAAATTGCGAACAGAAAAGCCAAGATAATTGACCACCAGAGACACGTGTGAACTATGCAAGCAGGACCAAGAAACAACTGAACATGTCTTTCAACATTGTTCAAGAACTTAATAGTTATGGCAGCGGTTGAAGTTCTCAGATTGGATGCAACACATTTAACAACCCGAAATTCGGAGGTGGCTACATTGCATCTCTGGAAACAAATGAACGATGAAATTTTTCAAAGCAAACGCCACATTGAATAGTACATGTGCAACATTATACAGAGCTGGACGACAACCATCAGCCAGGCCCAAACTAGCGACAAGGTGCTACTGACAGACCATCTGTATTGCCCAGTCTCAATTAATTTAAGTGTTCCCCATAAAAAAAAAAAAAAATAATTAATTTAAGTGTCTAGCCAGGGAAACTCCTTTTAGCATCCCACTTTTCTACTAAAAAACTTACGCATTGAATTTATTAAGATTATATCAATCATAAATGGAAAAAAGTTAATAAAAATTTAGAAAACCAACAAAAAGGATTTATTCCGGCAAAAGGACGGGCCCACATAGCTTGTTAAAATTTGTTTTCTTTGTTTTATCAAGGGATATCAAAGGGTTTAGTGAAGATGATTATGTGCATACCATCTTGAATTGCGAATTTAAAATTGTAACCATCTTATTAAATAAAAATAAGCAGGATAACATGACATAGCAAAACCTGTAAGTATGTGAGGAAAATTGTCTAAACCATCTTCAAAGACATATATACCGTTCTTGATATAATGTGAAATGTTTTCTAGAATATCTATGTTTTATTTTAACACTGCTTATTAACGTGAGGAAACAATGAGCATGATTTAGGTCTGGTTAAAAAAAGAAAAGAGAGCAAGATTTAGATCTAAAAATTAATTTTAATATTTCAAATTCAGATCGTTTCGGTAAGCACTAAAATATCAAAATGCATCAAATTATCCTTTGTTGGTACCCAAAAAAACACACAAAAGAAATATATGTTAAATTTTTCCCAACCAAATGAATTCGCATATGTTTGGATATCCAGTCATGAATTATTTTGTCATCCCTAATTTTATAGTGGATTCATGGATCCAACTTTCATAAAACATATAAGGCTAATACCATTACAACACCTGAACTATGACAAAGATGCCACTTATGTACTATTTTTTTCAATATTTCATTAATGTCCTAAACTATAATATTTTTTGTGCTATTTGTATCCTGGAGATTTTGTTGACCGTTAGAGCAAAAGTTGACTTTTGTTGACGTGGCAAAAATGTGGCTGCCACATAAATGCCACGTCGTTGACACCTCATAGTTTTTAATTCAAATTAAATAAAAATTGAATTACTCACTCCTCTCTTGAATAATCTCCCTAGCCGGAAAATCTCCCCACAAGTCGATACTCACTCCTGCGAATCCGTCATAGATGCACCCGATTCCCCTCTAGTAACTAGAGGCTAGAGCTGGTCTCATCTCCTTCCAACTCTAGCTCGCTACTAATGACGGATCGGGCACCGGCTGCTTCATGCTGCTCGTGGAGGTCACAACCGACGAGGATCTCACGACAGCTTTTAATTCGTGTTGAGTTTGGGTTGCCGTGGCGGATTGGAGTGGCGGTGGAGGATTGGGTCGCCAGGTCGGATTGGAGTGGCGGCATAGTTGTAGGAGTTTGGTGGTGGCGGAGTGGGTTGTCGTGTCGAATCAGAGTGATGGGGAAATGGAAGAAGTGTGGTGGTTGCGGATTTAGTCGCTGGGACGGATTGGAGTGGCCGCGAAGTGGGAGGAGTTTGGTGGTGGCGGATTGGGTCGTCGGGACAAATTGTAGTGATCGCGGAGTGGGAGGATTGTGGTGATGGCAGATTGGGTCGCCGGGACGGATTGGAGTGGCGGCGAAGTGAGAGGAGTTTGGTGGCGGTGGATTGGGTCGCGGGGATGGATTGTAGTGGCCGAGGAGTGAGAGGATTGTGGTGGTGACAAATTGGTTCAGGTAAGAGGAGGACGCGGAACAAGCTGAAAATGAGGATTTTTATTTTTTTGCTTTTTTGCCTTTTCTAATTGTTATTTAATTATTTAAAAATAACAAGTCAGACGTCACGTCAACACTAACTGGATGTTCTGTAAAATTAACAGTTAACGCCGATCAACATTAATCGAATAATAGTTCAGGACATAAATGAAATATTAAAATATTGAAAAGAATAGAACACAGGTGGCATAGTTCGGGTTTCGGGTGTTGTAATGGACAATGTAGAAGACATCATTTCAAATCAAATAGCTCATCGACCACCACATAGTGTGTCAAAGAAACGATCATCTTAACTCTTGGTGGCCTCTGCTTGCCCCTGTTGTCGTAACTACACTGAAGACCAGTCATTTTTACCCATAGTTAGACAAAAACGGGGAAAAAAGATAGTACGCTAAAACTGGAGTTTTTTATACCACAAGCAATCACAGGCCGTGGTTGAACCTCTCTGTAAAATAATTCCAGAAAAAAAGAGGTATGCTCGCTAACACAGCTTATCCTTCTGCGGCAGCTTCCTGCTCAGCATGGTCTTCAACAGTTGCAGGAGCTTCCTCAGTTTTAGGCCCAGGCCCTGGCCCTGCAGAAACTTTAACCATAGCTGGTCTTATTAGCCGCTCTCCAACCAGAAATCCAGGCCGGAATTCTTGTAAAACAATCCCATCCTCATACTCTTGAGATTCTTCCCTTGCAATCGCTTCATGTACCTATAGCCGAAAAATTGGAATAAAATCCACTTACCAACCTATATACACATAATGGAGGAGGATGTTCAATCACTTAACCCCTCAAAATTAACTCAATACTGCGACTCAAACATAAGAGATCCCCACCCTAAGTACTTGTCTTTAATCCCACTTCTTCATAACCAGTACGTATACTATCTCAAGAATATCAAGATAGATGTAGGCAAAGCGAGATTAGATGAGGAGAGTAATCACACCATCATTGCTAAACACACAATCAATAACTGGTAAAACACAACTCAAGGAAAGTTGGCTTACCGAAGGATCAAAAGGATGTCCAACTGTTGGTACAGCAGTCACCTGCATGCTTTTCATGATCTCCAAGAATTGTTTGTATATGCCCTGATAACTTGTATCTATTTTCTTCTCCTTGTCGGTTTCTGGTTTGATTTGTTGTTTGGCTCTCTCAAAACTGTCAACCATGGGCAGAAGGCTCTCGATCACTGCTCCTTGGGCATCACTCCTGATGTTCAGTCTCTCGTTCTCTGATCTTTTCCTGAAATTATCAAAATCTGCCTGCAGGCGGATGTATCTGTCCCTGCCAGAAGTTATCTCCGCGGACAAAGCCGACACCTTTATTACTAGCTCATTTTTCGTGCTTTCACTGGCATTTAACTCAGCCTCAATTGCAGTAGCGGTCTCCTGGTCGCCAGAAAGGATAGCTTCCCGATAACTTGCAAAAACATTCTTCAAATCAGATTCGTTCTGTGGAATGGATTCTGATCCCTCCTTCATTTCCTCCACATCATCCTCTTTATCTTTTACATCATCCTGTAGAGCACGATCTTCCTCATTTGTCTAAGAACATATAATCCAACAAAAAGGTCATCAGACAAAATGATTTGCATTGATGTTTCATCTTTTAACTGCAGTTTATGGAGCTCAAAGAGAGAAACATCAAGTCCAGCACTAGCAGAACGAAATCAATTTGTGTTGCAACACATGAGGGAGGGTGCAGAGTTGCATCTGGATTACGAATCGGTTAAGCACCAGAACGCATAAAAAGCAGTTTAATCTAATTACAGGGAAATGAATGATGGAAATTACAAATCTTTATTGTAAAATCATTTGCGTAGGTAGCTACTCTTTGTAGAAGTACGGCTTATCGTACAAGGTTCAACTTAAGTTACATAAAAGGATATTCGCTCTTTGAATTCCAGACTCCATGTCATAGAGACCAATTACATTCGCTCTTTGAATTCCAATTCTCTCAAGCTATCCAATTCACTAATACTCAACCAAATAGCTAACTTAGGGTACCAAGGAAATACCGTTATTACCAACATAAGCATTACTGAAACGGGAAAGTGGATTAGAAATCGAAATTGATTTTCCAATTGAAACATCCTAAAAAATCCTAAAAACCGAATTTCACATTCGACACAAAATCATTGTGAGGAGAGCTGCAAAGAATACGCACAAGCATAGCTGCATCGGCAGAAGCGGCTTCGTGGACTGCGCAACGAGCAAGGAAGGAACCGGAGCCATGGATGTGGAAGTAGTTTCTCTTGCTGCTGCCGCTGCTGCGTAACGACGGAAGGGGAGAAACGAAAGCAGAGCACCATCCCTTGAGAGGTCTATTTTGCGGATAGAAGAGGGGAGGATTGGGTTTAGCGCAGGAGTTTAGGGTTCTGTTGTTGAAGGAAAGAGCAGAGGACGATAGTGCTTGGCTTGCGAGAGATATCGCCATTACTGAATTGAGCAATGAAAAATCAACAATTACAGAGTATAGATGAATGGAAAGGATTGGGATTGGAGCGACAGACAGAACCAAACTGGGTGCTGTGCTGCCAATAGAAGATCCCAGAGCTTTTTTGGAAGGACCAAGAAGGACTAGAGACTGAAGGGGAGCAGCTGAAGATTAAAAGACGGCAAATTAATAACCGAATAGGTTCAACCGGGTCCAATAAACGGTTGTTGTGGTTTAATCCACGGGTTCAGTACAACCCGAACCCAGATATGCTGAAGCCCAGTAGTTTTAGACCCAATTTCCAATTCGGGGCTCCTGAAGGCAGAGGGTGGGGTAAAACTTACCCGTTGGCTAAACGCTATCCTAAATTTATTTTTATTGTCGTAACTTAAACCATAAAATTACTAAATTAACCTTAATTATTTTTATCGCCCCTCCTATCCCGTGTTCGCTAACCACCTCCACTGCGAAAACCTGCCGTCTCCATATTCCTCTGTTGTCCATTGAAAGAGCTCTAAACGAATATCCTATGTCCTATTAACATCAGACTCCTCCCAGGCGGTGCTTCCTTATTCGCCCGCCACCGATCAAATCGGCAGCGTCCCACCTCCCCCGACCGGCTTCTTTCCAGTTGACCGGTGCAGTTCAAACTCCTCCTGGCCTCATTTTTAGGTAACCGAAAATCCATTCTCTAGAATTGTGGAGGAATAGCAGACAGTGGCGGACCTAGTAAAGGGCAGGACGACACACCCTCTTCCGGAAATTTTGTGAAGTATCTATATATTTTTTGTACAAATTTTTTTAATTCGGGACTTGACACACCTTACATAATTGTGAGCGACACCTCTTCATTATACGATAATGATTTTCTTGTTATAAAGTTATTTATCTTAATTAGTAATACACAATAATAAGTAAATTCAAATAAGTATGCTTGTTTTAGAGTAACCCACACCACAACCTAGGGATGGCAATAGGGCGGGTTTGCCTAAACCAACCTCATCCTCATTTTCAAATATTCAAAAACTCATACCCGCCTTATACCAATGCAGTGGAAGGTCTTACAAACTCATCCTCATATCCGCGGTTTTCGGATACCCATGGGTAATACTGCCCCAACAACTACTCACCATTACTAAAAGAATATGGTGACAAATATGGATACTACCCACCCAAAATTATGGAACTAATACATAAGAGGATGAAATTACGGTTTGGTTGTCATCAATTACATTTTAACACTTTATTTTTTCTTTTAATTACCCTTTATTTGATTGACAAGTTACAATACACTCCTTATATTTTATGTATATAACATAATATCCTTGGTGGGCGGGTTTGGGTTTGGGTATGGGGAGAGTCAAAAACCATACCCGCCCCATACCCATCAACCTTTTTGGGGGGTTTATCCATACCCGCCTCATACCTAGTCAACGCAGGGATTCCCGCGTTGGCTGGGTCGGAGGCGGTCGGGTACCCGCGACCATGGGTTTGGTTGTCATCCCTACCACAACCCAACAATGGAAAAAATAAACATAACCACATCCTACGAAACTCACCATGTCCATCCCTTGATCCTTCCTTAATTGAAAATAAAAAACTCACCCTTACCTGTTTTAGTTTCTAATTACCGAGAGCCACTACCACATCTTCCTTTTCTTTTACCCTGTAGTTTTACTTTTGGAAGTTGGTGTTGACTTTACTTGTTGCAATTGAAAGCTGCGAAAGATTTCAGCTATGTAGATAATAAAAAATGAACTTCGAAATTGGTTGAGTGACCAATTTATGAATCATTGTTTAGTTGTGTATATCGAAAAAGATTTGCTTCGCAACATAAGCAATGAATGTATTTACAGACATTTCTAGTAAACATAACATTGTGAATTTTATAAATTAATTTCTATTTAATTTATATTAATTTTTTAATAATTATATTATTTTATCGGCGACACACCTCTCCAGCAATTCTGGGTCTGCCACTGATAACAAAGGCTTATCTTTGATATATACTAATTGAAAATGGCGAACATCAGAAATGGCTTTGGAAAAGATATTTAGTCCTTCCCATATCTACCACAACTGCAGTTGAAACAAAAACTTTTTATCATCCTCATAACTAGAAGACGATTCCAATTCAATTATACAATGTAATGTAAACAAACAAATACATCGGTGTAGTGGCGGCTGAAAGTGGGAAGTGGTGGGGGTGATGGATTGTGTTTCTTAAAATTCTAACAATAAAAAGAAGAAAGGGTAAATATGTCAATTTAATTTTAAAATTAGGGCGATACAATAAAGTAGGGCGACAATTAACAATCCCCAAAACTTACGAGCATGCTTTGCTAAATCGTACCCAAGATTATATCGCATTTGTTTGTGATACGATCGTGGTCCAAATATTTGTATCAGTAAAATAATGTTTTTGACATAGTAAAATATTTTTTTATCAAACACTGTGGTGGCAAAACTAGACTATCATATCTAGGGACTGGAAAACGGTGCGGTCTAGTCCAGACCATATATATTGTCTATGGTCCAGACCGAAAGAATGAAGTATAGACCACAGACTATACGGTCCGGTCCAGACCACGCCTATGCGGTCTATTCCAGTTTGGTCTGGTCCAGATAGACCACACTCAATGAAAAATGAACAATTTGTGTAGTCAACCACACAAAAAATTGAACCAATAACCAAGAAAAATCAATTTTTTTCCTTAACATTAATTCTAACATGCATGAATAATTTTGATACCTAATTCTTAGTACATAACAAAGATACAAAGTAAAAGCATCCCAACTTGCACCATAACGTCATAAAACATTAACATAATGTCATATGAAGACAAAATTATCTCTACTCTCTGGTGACATGTGGTTGTGAATGAAGGAGGGACGAGATTCTCAAAATTAAGGTTGAGACTTGGGTGTCGTTGTGTTAGTTGGGAGAGTGGTCGAATAGGCTATTAACATGTATTGACAAGTCGATTGGGGTCCACGGTTTGGTCCGGTAAACCGCGGTCTAGACCAGAGTAGACCAAGAGATGAAAACATCAGATAATACAAACCATGGACCAGACCATACTTAACGGTCTACGATCCATACCAAACTGTGAGGTCCGATTTGGACAATGATTTTTCTAACGGTCTGGTCTATTTTCCCAACCCTGTCCATATCGAAGTAATATTGGATTACACTAGAATATGCTAGATAGTAAATAAATAAAATAATAAATAAAAATAAATATCTAAAATATTTTATATAGTTACAAAATAAAGATATTGTGTTGAGGTACCCGCCCCACCCCAATTGCAATCACTAGGTGAAATGATGAGGCTAGCGTACGCGCGGGCGTATGTTAGACTACCGTTTGCCCGTTTGAGTTTTGCTATTTAGATCATGAATTAACCGGATTTTTGGGCATGATACTATACCCTAACCACTAATGGATAAACCGCAGTCCCTAGTTTTCTAATCCAAATCATGAGATTCGTTTAATCTTGAAATGAAAATCAACAATAATTTCGACGAATCAAAACCGTTGATTTTCATTTTAAGGTTAAATGAATATTATGCTTTGGGTTAGTGAATTACGGAGTGGGGTTCACCCATTAGGGGTTAGGGTATAATATCATGCTCCAAACTCCGGTTAATTCATTGTCTAAATAGCAAAACTCAACGGCGTACGGTAGGCTAGGGTACGTCCGGGCGTACGGTAGGTCAGGGTACGTCCGGGCGTACGCCAGCCTTTGCCATATATATATATAATGGTAATGTAAAGGGGCAAATTTTGTTTATCAATTAGGCCACTATCTCTCAGTCTAATCATAACTTTTCCTTTCTCCCTCAACTTTCTCTCTCCCCTCTCCATGTATGTTCAAACTTTGTTCTACTTTTTCTTCGTACCATTGATTTTTAGGCGACATGTTGTAAAACAACACACTCTGAGAACTCTCTTCTCCACGAATTTGATCCTCCATCTGAGAAATTTCTTGCTGGTTGATAACACCTAAATTGGTGCTATCTACCCTTCATATTTAGGTTCGTTTCATGCTAATTCATGTATATAATCGGAAGAATATCATCAATTGCATCCTTATTTCGTTCCTATTTGATTATGTCATTATTTTAGGGTGCTCTAGACGATGCATGTGAATTAGGTAAGAAAAAAGGCACAAGTGTAGTGAAATGGGCAGAAAGCTGATGATCACAATCTGAAAGGGAAAGATCTCGGCCGAGACAGCAGACCGCGAAGTAGGAGAGAAGATTGCGGCCTGAGGACCCTAGTTCGCGGTCGCGAAGATGGAGCCCCTGGGTGTGAACTTTGTGAGGAAGTCACCCGAGAGAAGACAAAAAATTTCGATGGTCAAATCACGGTCACCGTCTTCCCTGAACGCGAGGAAGTTCGTGGCCGTGACTCATGGATCGCGACCGTGAAGTTAGTCCACGAACTCCACAAAGATGAAGACCAAAACGACATGCCTGAAGATCGAGGGCTCGAAGGGAAAGAGCACGCTTGCTCGATCGTGACCTTGTTCACCCTCCTAAATTCTATAAATAGGGGGCTCCTCCCCCTTTAGAAGATGGATTTTGGTAGATTTCTGATTCTAGAGAGAGAAGTTGAAGAAAGGAGAAGAAGTGAAGGAGAGCTTTGGAGGAGGAATTCCATCACTTGAAGACCCCTTTCTTCGTGATTTCTTCCCCTCTTTGTATGTCTTTTCTTCCCCCTTCATGGGGTGATCTCCCAAGGTACTAGGGGTTTAAATCTCCAAACCCTAGTTTTTGGGCTATTATGTAATGAATGAATATGTTAGGGATTTGAATGAATGTGTTTGTCTAGTTGATTTTAATGCTTTATCTAACTTTAATTGTTCTTGGTTAAGTCGCCCTAATCTTCTCTACTAGCCTACTTGAGCTTCCATGCTGGGTATGGATTTTTGTTGTTAGACGAGTATGTGCCATCTGGAAAATTAGAGTTAGATGAATGAATAGGGTCTTGTGCTGGACTAGGAAACTGAACCCCTGCCACAAGAATGCCTTCCTAGATGGAACCCGGGATGAAACCCCGGTGTGGACGGAGGGTAGTGCCCATTGCAATGAGCTAAGTTATTAAAGCCCCAGATACATGAGCATATACCGAGGTGACAATGGCGTAGGTAGGGCGTACTCGGTGGCATGTGGATAATCACGAAGGATCATGGAAAAGTGCTCACTCACCACATTCACTTAACCCGACTTATTTAGACATTTGCATGGTAGACCTAGGCTAGGGCGAGGGATTTACCCCGAGTGCCTCTTATCTCCTATTACCCT